ATTCAGACGAGCCCTTATCGAACAATCCTGTTCAGCCATGATGACAGGCTCGATGACGCGCGGCGGTGGTGTCGGTGGTGTAGGGATGACAGGTGGTGACATCTGCCTTCTCGGTTGACGATTCTGAGTTACGGAAGGCCTGGAGTTGTGGATATGGTAGGCTGCTTCCCTAACTTGACCTGCTTCCTGTTCTGTCGGCAGGTCTTCTCGATATCCGGATCTAGTGGCAGTAAATCGCCGGTCGTCCTCCTAGGCATGCACGAGGAGGATAAACCTGAAAATCCTTCTGCACACTAACACTCAGATCAAAATAGTTCACTCACAAAAATCAACAAAAATAAGGTATGGCAGCCCCCGGCAACGACGCCAAAAACTTGATAGGGCAAAAGCGTATAGCTTCAATTCCTATCTCGTAGTAAACCGGAAAGTCCGGGTATCGTCTCTTAGGGACTGGTACAACCTTATATTCTATCAAATTTATGAGCAAACTATAAGTGAAAATATGGTTTGGTTGATGAGATTATTAACTAATAGCAAAATAATTAAACAAAACAAGCAAATTAAAGTTGTTGGGAGAAATCAATGGAGAAAGCTCTGGGAGAAACACCGGGACTCACTACCTATCATATCCAGATTAATTCACATATTCTAATCAGTTTAATCCAATTCTCTACAGCCAGGATATCACGAATGTGCTAGCTATCGCTGTCGGGAATTACTACGTACTAAACAATTAATTCAAATCCTACTGTCGTAGCTCAATGACTTAATTATTTAGCCTAAAGACCGATATGCTAATCAAGACCGCATAGTACCTTATTTAATCCACTGTCGCTTCGATAAGCTACTATGTCACATGAAAAATGTTCAGTTATTAGGGTTTCACTGTCGCTAATAACCTAATTAACTACAAATCATTGTATTGGTGGCCAGTCAACACAAAGCATTAAGTAATTTCATGCAATAGAGATTGAAAGAAAAGAATCATGAATCAATTCATCAAATCAAGAAATAGCTACATCCTATGGTGTTTCCCCTAGAAATCGGGGTTTAGTTCATGACGAAATTAAGATAAATCGATAGGGTTTTGTTCATCATGTTCTAAATCAACAAGAAACAACTAATTCGATTTAGAAAATCCAACCAACTAATCGCTCTCGTTGAATTCAGCTCAAACCTTGGAAAGAGGTCGATCGCCAAATTCCAATCGCCTGCTGTTCGCTGCTGCCTTGCTAATTCCCTCGTCCCCCAAAAACCCTCGCTGCGCCTCCGCTTTCTTTTCTTGCCTCCAAAGAATTCTCGCCCTCCAATCTACTCCAAAGAAAAATCCGTCCGTCTCTCCAATCAATTGCCCCAGAGATGTCCCCCGTCCAATATAATTCTCCTCCCTAGTTTATTCCCCAAAATTCAATCACCAAACCACTCACTCCCGTCCAAAATCAATCCCCCCACCAATTAATTAGTTGCCGTCCCATTTACTAGCCCAGCTAGCTGGGCTTTAAGCCCATTAGGATCGCTCCACCTTTGATCCCAATCCAGCTGGGCCTTGAGCCCAAAATAATCACCAGTCCGTCATTAATCTCCCTCCAGCTGCTCCATCCAGGCCCCCGTGCTATTTAGCCAGTGATTCGAGAATTGTTTGTCTGTGCAACTTTTTTTTCCGTGTTTTCTTCACTTGTAATACATCAAACTCATGGCACTAGACAGTAATGGTTTTTCAACCATTCTCGGGTTAGGGAGCCCTAAAATAGCACCAATCAGCTTAAACATACCATGGGATAATCACACACCGTTCAAGAATCAGACATATTAAAACCGATTATCAATGGTGAAAGAGGAGGATGATATGAGCAAATCTGAATTCATGATGGAGAATCTATGTCGTCCTAAACGCGATTGGCTTAAAGGCTAGGTGGGTGCAATCAATGCAGGAAAAAACGCGATTCTACTTAGAAGCGAAAAATAGGTAAAATCGTAAGTGTAGAATCAAAGCGTAAAAATGTAAGTTATTTTACGCATACTTAATATAACGAAAAATGTGTTAAGTACGATAAAATATGAGTGGACATAGTTTAGATAAGTTAATAAATACTTGTAATTCATGTCTAAAGTTGAGAAACTCATAACATTTTAACAATAAGTTCATAAACATATATCTTAACAATAAGCTACATTCCCCTCTATGCTAGTGAATTTAGGAAGGGCATAGCTGGTGAATTAGATTACTCTATTGAAACTAAGAATGCACCCAAGTACTTGATATGTATCTTTTAATCTCAAATATATCATATTTTTTGTGATTCACCTTTAAAATATAAGTATTTTCATGAATAGAATACTTTTTTAGTGAACTAGAAGCGTAAAAGCGTTAAGTGTTTTAGTGAACCAGAAGCGTAAAAGCGTAAGCTTTAAAGCGCATTTTAGTCCCGATTTTATACACTTAAGATTTTATATGGAAACGAAAGCGTTTTGGTGTCCTAGAAGCGTAAAACCGTAAGTTTTTAAGTTTTAAAACGCGATTTTGACTGCATTGGGTGCAATGCGATGCGAGCAGCATGATTTGAGTTTACTTTGTCCATCGTTTTAGATTCCGGGGGCAGCATATTGAATTTCAGGCCCATGCCGAGCCAATGAAAAGAATAGAAGAAGCATCTGACTCCTTCATGCATGTTCCACTTGGCTCGGGGGGATATAGCTCAGTTGGTAGAGCTCCGCTCTTGCAATTGGGTCGTTACGATTACGGGTTGGATGTCTAATTGTCCAGGTGGTAATGATAGTCTCTTGTACCTAAACCGATGGCTCACTTTTTCTAAGTAATGGGGAAGAGGACCGAAAAAGTCCAATTTCATGAAAGCCCATGAGAACATATAACATTTTGCTGGGCTTGGTCCAATCCCGACTTTCGTGACTTGCACGCAAGGAATTGATGAGAAGGCTGAGGGGGAAGGTCTGATAACTAATAGCCTTTCGGACTTTTCAGTTTCACCTACTACCATAAATTGAGATAGTTGGAGTAACAGATATGGTTTCTCAGTTTGGTAATCCAGTCCACATGGGAAGGGAAAAAGAGAATGATTCTGCTCTGCGCATGGAAAGGAAATGGTCCTCTCTGGTTGTTTTTTACTTGTGCCCTAAACGCATGCAAGCTATAGCACTAAAGGGCACTGTGGCGTAAGGTTGAAGGTCACTCTCCCCCACTTGGGTTTGTTTTGAGGTCATTGCTTCTTCCATATTTGAAAGTCTCTTTCATCACTTCCCATTTTATAGAAAGTTCAAAACAATTCAGAAGGAGAAAAAGTGTGAAGACGGAAGAACGCTAAATTTATATATTGGGGGATTATACATATTTGATTCCGGTCAAATGTATAAATATTATGCAAGTGTAATTTGAAGATGCAAAATTGTATTCATCCAAAAAATTATACGAAATGAGAATGATATGATATGATACAATAGATAATGATACAAGTTATTATTAATTCAACTGAATATGAGTTCCCGCCCCCCTCTTTTTCACGTCACTCATTTAACGATCAATTATAAGAGTTGACTGTCACATAAGATTAAATTAACGAAGTTGGATGGTCAGTAACCAAACCTGAAATATTAAACTAATTTAGTGACTATGAATGAAATAAAATATTTTGAGCATATATCATAGTAGTAATTATAGTTTATAGTATTTATGATCTCATGATTACTAGTTCAATCTTCAGACTTCCACTATTCTCAACTTACTAGAGGAGCTGCTCAAGGATCACTTGGTCTTTCTGCTGCACGTGGGGTCATCCGAGATTATAACGGAGACGAGGCTAGAGGCTTCTACAACAACCTTGGGACTGGTCACTGGCACGACTCTGGAAGTCAAACTTTGGGAATGACATCAAGTGTAAGAACTCGCCCAAAGCAAGAACATCCAATTTCTCATGGCGGAATCAAACTCAAAGCTTATAGTTGATTTGATCATGAAGAGAACAAACTTGGCTCACCCTCACGCTTCGATCTTAGGGGCGGTTCACCGACAGTTGACTCACAATTGGGAAGTTCGTCTCTCTCTCTCACGTACCGTGAGGAGAATAGAGTTGCATACTAACTCTCGAAACACAGTATCGTCTATCTCGTTAGGTCGTATGAATTGATGAATTCCCCAACGGAGTTAAGTCAGATCATTATGGAGAACATTATAGGAGTGGGTTACTCGAGAATGGTCACCCACAAACCAGTTAGTAGCTAACTAGGATTCTTCCTGGTTGTCTCGATTAGTTTTTTCGCTTGACACCTTTTTGGCCCTTTTCCTTCCACAAGTCGCTAAGTCTATGACTCTGTTGATTGTATCTAAGTTCGTGGCCTTTGGCCACCCTTCAATAAATAAAAAACTTACTAGATGGCCTTCTATTTCCCACTACACAAGTATTACCTTCCCAATGTGATGATTAATTAGAATGAGATTATATTACATTAGTGACAAATATCTTTTCCCATATCTTCCACAATTACGAATTCCGAAGAAAATTTTATTACGATTTTTTAGACTTTAAGAACATACTTGATCTTTTAGTATTCATAATTTTGTCACTTCCCAATCCAAAATTTCTTACTTGACAAATGACCATTAAAGGGCAGCAGCTGTTGCTTTCCTATGGAATTTTTGTCACTAAAAAGATAAACCGAGTGAAGGAGGTTAAAACCAAAAAAGACCCGCTTCAGTTGCTGCCATTGGGCAACCAATACAGCAATACTCCTGGGGAAGAATCAAAAAGAACCCCAACGGACCAATTTCAGACCCAAACGAGATGGTAGATTTTGGCTCTCTTAACACTTGTTTCGTACTCATTCGCCTCAAACACATCAAACCAGCTTCAATAGACTGTCCGACACAAGAACCGACAACTGACGATATCAACAATTCCTCCGCCCACAATTTTAATAATCCCCACCCAAAAATGGCTTTTTTTTTATACTAATAACCCACCGAGAATTCCCAAGAAGTTACTAAACTCGTCAGGAACCTAAAAACTCATTCGTTTGGCTGGATCTGTTTTCTGCTTCTTAGTGAGGAGACTGCAGTTGGGTCGGGTCGGGTTGTTGGAGGTTCACAAGAACCATCTCACCTCTCTCTCCCTCCCTCTTGTCTTTTGGTCACGCACTGACTTGGGGTATATAGACATCATGTGACTCCCAGACTCGGCTCCTACACCGCCATACCGTACTGTTCATCCCGTGAATCCTCTAAGTAACCAATTACAAAATCAGTAGGAAAAATATCAAATCTTTCCATTGTGGGATTGTTCAGAATGCAAGTCTCTGTCATGGGTTCTTCCTACTACTCTGTTTCCATCCTGTTCTTTCTCCTCTGTTCCACCTCTGCCGCTACCTATGGTAACTTCCTCTGCCATCTCTTCTCCCTTCCCATTTCCTGGTTAACTTGCTGCCGTTTCGTTTTCCTCAACATGGAATCCGTCGTACCATGTTGATGTTTTTCATTCTTCTGGGGTTTCAGATGGGCCGTTGTACGATCATACAGCTTACACTGAGGTAAACGCGTATAATCCTCCACACTGTTGAATTTGGAACTGGGTTTTTATTGTTTCTTCATCTTGGTTTGGTGCGTAAGTTTGGAGAAAGTAAGCTTCTTTTTCTGTTCAGTGCCAGGCGACGCCGGAGAAGGCCCTATACGGCGGAGGAATTCTGGCCAACCAGCGGTCGGTTCATTGGAAGGATCGTGACGATTCCGGCGTCGGAGATGCCACGCCGGCTTTCATTTTGAGCAATCTCACACAAGGCACATATTACTCTTTCTCAGGTTTGTTCATGTTCAAAATCCTGATCCCTGTTGACTGGACGGTACCAACTACCAAGATAGATAATTTAGCTCTAGTTAGTCTGTATGACAGCATTAGTTCAATTCATCCAGTTGGAGCAGTAATTAGAGTTTAATCTTCAAGCAATAAGTGTGATTGGGAACCTCTATTGTTTTTTCTTGGTTGGTGACATTTACCCTCTCTATGAGAGTACAAAGATTATGAACTTGTCTTTGTGGTTGAAGAAGTAGAAAAGCAATTACTAAACAATAACAGTATGGGTGAAGGTGAAAGCTGCATATCCAACAACTGTAACTGCAAGCCTAAAGACAGACACCACGACATACTACTGCGTCGGAAGTGCCTCCGCCCACAGGAATTGCTGGTCGTTTCTGAAAGGCGGGTTCGTTCTCGAGGAGCCGTCAACTTCCTCCATTCTGTACCTCCAGGTACGTAACTCCGAATTCATCTACCAAATCCTGTGAAAACTCCAAAGTTAAACATGTTCAGAAGACAAGCAGTGCTAAGATGAATTGCCTTTCAACTCATGGGTTCATATTTGACAGAGCCCAGCTCGCAAGAGCGTTGGTGTTTCAGTGGCAAGAGCTTCTTTGCAGCCGTTTAGTCCAGAGCAATGGACGGCAAGCCAGCAGAACGTCATAGACACTGTAAATTACTGGTCACACTTTCCTTTTACAGTTCCCAGGCAAATTCCTAACCTTAAAGCCAGACACTGATCGTGCTAGCCACTCTTTCCTTTCCTTTTCTACAGCAAAGGAAGCGAGCCGTGACGATTCACGTCTCGGATAGCCAGGGCAACAGGCTGCAAGGAGCTTCGGTCAAAATTCAGCAACTCTCCAAAGAGTTCCCTTTCGGTTCCGCCATCTCCAAGACCATCATCGGGAACCAGCCTTATCAGGTGAGTATATACAGACCTTAGAGAAATAGTCTCTAAAGAGTGATCTAAGCTCCAGTTTCATGGCACAGTAGCAGAGTATGAGACTGTGATTTCAATTACAGAAATGGTACCTGGAGAGGTTCAACGCGGTGGTGTTCGAGAACGAGCTGAAATGGTATGCGACGGAGCCACAGCAGGGCCAAGTGAACTACACGGTCCCGGACAAGATGATGGAATTCGTGAGAGCCAACGGGCTAATCGCCAGAGGCCACAATATCTTTTGGGAAGACCCCAAGTACACTCCGGCGTGGGTCAAGTCCCTCTCCGGCGCGGGCCTCCACGCCGCCGTCGAGTCCCGGATCCGGAGCCTGATGGACAAGTACAGGGAAGAATTCGTGAACTGGGACGTCAGCAACGAGATGCTCCACTTCGACTTCTACGAGAACAAGCTCGGCCGCGGCGCAACTCTGCATTTCTTCCGAACCGCCCACGAGGCCGACCCGCTGGCCACACTGTTCATGAACGACTTCAACGTCGTCGAGTCCTGCGTCGACATGAATTCCACCGTTGACGAGTACATCGCCAGGATGAGGGAGCTGCAGCGCGGCGGGGCGACGATGGACGGGATCGGGCTGGAGAGCCACTTCTCCAAGCCCAACCCGCCGCTGACCAGAGCGATCCTCGACAAACTGGCTACCTTGAAGCTACCGATTTGGCTCACCGAAGTCGATATTTCGAACAAATTCGATCACTCAACTCAGGTTTTTGATTGATTTGGATAACCCATCTGCTTGATTCGGCCGATTTGGGATGCATTGGCTGACTTTTGTTATTGCAGGCAAGGTATTTGGAGAAAGTCCTGAGAGAAGGGTTTTCTCATCCGGCGGTGGATGGGATAATGATGTGGACTGCGCTGGACTCCAAAGGCTGCTACCAAATGTGCCTGACGGACGGCAATCTGAACAACTTGCCGGCGGGGGATGTGGTGGACAAGTTGTTGAAAGAATGGTACACCGGCGTGCAGACTGGGAGCTCCGATCAGCAAGGGTCCTTTAGCTTTTATGGGTTTCTGGGGGAGTACAGTGTGAAAGTCGAGTACAGTGGAAGAACTGTGAATTCGACTTTGTCCCTTAGCAAAGGGGATGAAACTAAACAATTAAGCATTCGAGTATAGGCACCTTAAAAACATATATGAATGTACTTAGTTCACAAGTTTACTAATTTAGTTATTTACGAGGTTTTCTTGAGAGTAATGACGTTTTGCTAGGTGCTTGTGTGGTTAATTATTGTATGAGTACAGGCATAGTATTTTCTAGATTTGTCACTACTAAATTCCGCAAATTATATATATAAAAATAATTAAAAGCACAAGCATTTTTCACGGTTCATTAAAAAAAAGTTATTTTTTTCTCCACGGGTATTGTTCACAATAGGATTCTATCCCATATACTCAATTTTACCTTTTTAAGCCCTTTTTCCTTCTTTTCTGCAATATTATTCATATGATTTTTATTTCTTACAACCATTTCTACGATAAGTCTAAAATTCATAAGCAATTATATTATTCCCTACAACCACTGCAACGATAAGTCTAAAATTCATAAGCAATTTTTTTTTGTAATTGTTGTTATCCTTTTATTAAGCACAAGCTTGAGAAATCAAGCATCCTCGAAAATTACATTTGCTATATACAACACTATACATCAACAAGATCATCTACTAAATCTGGACTTGCTAATCCCATAACTACTGCCATCTGCTAACTATGCTAAATGCTAACTGCCAACTACTGAATCAACTACTACCTGAGAGTAACTAGGGTTACAGACCAATTCATGATGAAACTCAGCATTGCCTACACACTAATATCTAACTTCTTCCTTGAGTTGGAGCACAAATTCCTCCTTACTTCTCTTGGCAACTGTGAAAGCTCTAGTACATCTTTCCTTCCACAGTAAAGCCACAAACCAGCACCAAATCACTCCAATTATCTTGTCCCCCTGCCGATATCAAATGACATACCTGCTGTAGCATCCCCTCCCAGTTTGCAGACCACAAGATACTTGGAAATAACTCCTGTAACAGTGCCACAACATAAGAGCACTTACAAAACAGGTGGTCACGATTTTCAGGTTTAGTATGACAGAGCAAACACCGATTAGATTCTGCAATCTTTCAGATGAACTCGAGTCTTGATCCGATTATGTATAACCAACCATGTTAGGAATCGATGATGAGGTATGTTAAACTTCCCCCACAATGCTGAGTACCACCCCACTACTTGATTCCTAGGCCGAATAGACTGCCACACTTCTTAAATGGAGAACTTCTCAAGCAACTTCCCCTCCCAAGTAACCCCATCTTCTTCTTCTATCAATCTATACTGGAATCAGGACCTCAATTGGAGAAGCTTTCTCCACAGCCCAGGCCCAGTTTGCGTTTCAGGGATTAACCACAATGACCTCTCTTTTAACCTGTGTTTCTCGATCCAAGCCACCCAAAAAGATCCCCCACGAATGAGAAGCATCCAAACCATTCTGCCAACACAAGCCACATTCCAAGTATATAGATCACGCAGCCCAAAACCTCCCTCCTTCTTAGGCAAACAAATCAAATCCCATATGGCTTTAGCCCTCCCAATACCCTAACCATACTAGAGAAAATCAGAGCAGACTTTTTGAATTCTGTTGATAACTTTCTTTGGCAGCATAAAGACTGTCATCCAAAACTGGGTGATGGAGTACAGAACTGAAGAAATCAGCTGCAGTTTCCCAGCATAGGTCAGTTTGTTGGCACCAAGATCTAATTCTACTGGTCAATTTATCTATGAGCAAGTTACAATCAGTACTAGACAGTGATCCAGATTGAAGAGGTACTCCTAGATACCTCATAGCTAGCATACCTTCCTTGAATCCAGATCTGTCTAAGGCTAATTGTTTTGTTCTCGCCTCCATTCCTCCCAAAACACTTCACACTTTGTCCCTAAAACACATCAAGCACAGTCCTTAAACCTTCTAAAGCCTAGGCTGATCCCTCTGTTAAAATCAGTAGATCGTCAGCAAAGCTAAGGTGTGTTAATCCTTTAACTTTACATTGGGGGTGATAAGGAATCTGTCTAGACAACACTCTCCTGTTGAACATGGAAGATAAGGGTTCCATAGCTAGAGTGAAGAGGTAAGGTGATAACGGATCACCCTGCCTCACCCCCTTCTTAGCTGTGAAAAATCCAAAGAGGCTACCCTGCACAGTCACACTGAAGCTGGCTGTTTCAAAATAGATTTTAATCCAATGTGGAAACTTAGGAGGGAAATTCATCTTTTGCATAACCATGAACAAGTAACCCCAATGAACCGAGTCAAAAGCCTTCATCAAATCGACTTTGATAGCACATCTAGGAGTGATATTCTTCCTATGATAATTGTGGACGATTTCTTGAGCCATTAGGATGTTATCTACTATACTTCTCCCTTTGATAAAAGCGGATTGGTAATAACTAATCAACCTGGGCATCACTTTCTGTAGCCTTCCAGTTAAGACTAAAGAGATGATTTTGTATAGTACATTTATGCAAGCTATTGGCCTAAATTCTAACATTCTGGAAGTAGTGGGAATCTTAGGAACTAATGTGAGAGAGGCTGCATTCATACCTTTAGACAATGCCCCCTTTGAGAAAAATTCTTTGACAGCTGCTGCTACTTCTTCTCCAATCACAGGCCAACTTGTTTGAAAAAATTGCACAGTCCAGCCATCGGGGCCAGGTGCTTTCGTAGGGTCCATTCCAAACAGTGCTTCTTTTATTTCCTGATCAGTCACTTCTGCACAAAGAATTCTTCCTGCCTCCTCATCCAAATGTTTATCAATGAGTGAGCTGATTAAGGTCGGATCAGGTTGTATCTCTGCATTTTCAACTCCAAACAGTTGATAATAAAACTGTACTGCTTCCTTAGCAATCCATTCAGGGTCTTGCACCTCTTCTCCAGATGCTAGAATAAGCTTGCGAATCTGTTTTCTTGCTTTCCGAGCTTTTACAGTATGATGGAAGTAATTGATATTACTGTCACCTAAAGCTATCCAGTTGATCCTCGATTTTTGCTTATAAAAACTCTCTTCTGTTTGCTGGAGCTCTAAAAACTTCTGCACAACTGCTTTCTCTGCATTTATATTATCAATAGAGGGGTTTGTCAAATTCTGCAGCTAAGCCAACTTCATTTCCTGATTCGTCTCAACCACTCTGCCTGAAATATTGGAAAATTCATCTTTATTTAATTTCCTTAGGGAAGCCTTAAGAATATTCAACCTGTTTTTCACTTTATTGACAACAGATCCTCTTATCTCCTTCCCCCAAATTTCTTTGACTAACTCTTGGTAGCCAAAATGCTTCAACCACATATCGAAACACCAAAATGGTTTTGTAAAAGCCTTAGTAGGAATACAAGGACTAATCCACATCCCGTAGTGATATGAGAAATCATGAGCCAGAAACTCCTCCTTGCAATATGGGAAATGATCAAGCCATTGAGTGTTAATTAGTACTCTATCTAGCTTCCTTGCAATAATGTTTCCTTGCTGCTGGTTTGACCACGTAAACAGAGGCCCCGTTGCTCGGTGATCTAGCAGTTCCATCTCACCAATCCATTCTCTAAATTCAATAGTGCTACTAGTTACTGTTACTTCATTGGACTCTTCTTCGGGCCCTATGATGGCATTAAATTCACCACTAACAAGCCAAGGATATCCTTGCACTTTCCACTTATCCTTCTTTTTGTAAATATCATATCTTTCCCTTTCTTCATTAGAACCATATGCCAGAGTATAAAAGAAACTACTGCCATCTAACAACTTCACTAGCATGTGTATGAAATTTTTGTCTGTAGTTAGAGTTCTAATTGTGACTCCATCTGCCCAACCCATTTATGGCCAAACATAGAGCACTTGTGATATAACAGGGGCAAATTGCAGTATTGAACACCTATCTGTAGCTCTCCTACCCCATCCGACTCAATTCTCACAACTTCAGGAAAAGTTCTTCTGGCATCCAACTCTATACAGACCTTGGCAAAACCTAGCTTCTGCCCCTGACGCGTCGCTTGGTCCATACAGAGAGGTTTGTCTAGTAAGCTTGAGACCCTACTCAGGCCTGCCTTGTTAATGAGTTCAACCGGAAAGTCTAGAAGCTTGACCCAAACAGTGAGGCGAGAGTTATCCAAATCCATAACCTGAATACTTGGTTTCCACTTCCGCAAGAACAAAGGTCGATGCTTGCAATGCCAAGGTCCTCCCTCAAAAGCCCAAGTACAGCTGACAGCAGACGGGGATTGGAAAACGATGAGAGAATCCTCAGATTAGAAACCCTAGATTCTCCTTGTCGACCCCAAATCCAGTTTGCCTAAGATCAGACAAGCGCCATGGGTGGAGCTTCCCCAAGAAATTTCCCTACAAGAGAATGCTCCCATCTGCGAGCACCTTCTGCAATGACCTATCGCGAAATTCGGAGGACGCCATTAACAAGGTCAGGTTCCACAAAATCCAACCGATTGTACTCCTGAACCGCGATGCCCAGGAAGCGGAGGCCGACTGTGAATCTGGTGCCACCAAGGATGGAGTCGGCGTGCCCATTGCTGAAAGAAATCAAGGAGATGAAAGAGGACGCTGGAGACGAGAAACAACCACAGGAGAGAATTGTCTCGAGGGGAAGGCGCACAACGATCGGAAACCGTTTCGAGCCTAACAGCTTAGAGAGAGAGAGTGAGAGACTCTCCAGCAAAAATCTCACAGGAGGGCGAAAATCTACAAGATTGAATTTTATTCTCTACAACCACTTCAACGATAAGTCTAAAATTCATAAGCAATTATTATGTTCTTCATAATGATTAAAACATCACGTGAAACTTACATATTTATCTAATCTAAACAATTTTGTAAATTATTTGATTTAAACTAAATTATTAGTTTCTACCGCGGTGGAGCGCGGGCCAAAAATCTAGTAATGTTTACATGACAATCACAAATTTCTTTTAAATCAGATATTTGTGCCCATCCAATCATAAATATAATAACCTCTCATAATTGTGTGATACATATTAGCAAGGTACAAAATTAGTAAAAAAGAAATATTGGAGTGATGATTTAAGAAAAGAGTGTCAATATTAGATATTATTGGTTTTGAGCTAATAGCATTTTATGCCCTTCAAGTATTATAAGTTTACAAATCTGACATTCTACTTTTTTTTCCACATTTATACCCTTCAACTCTCAAAACATGACAAACCTACCATTATGTCAAATCATTGTTAAACAACGGTTAAGATGATGTAGAAATGACTTATTGATCCCTCTCCAATCAATTACTAATTTTATTTTATTTTTTAATTTAATATTTCTTTCCTCTTTTATTTATGAAAAACATTTATGATTTCATCAAGGATTGTTGACTAAAATATAGATGGCATATTGGCCCAAACTTCTTCTTCTTCCTAGTTGCATCTCGTATGAGCCATTATATGTTCGCTCCAATTGCTTTCCCGGTCCGAGAAAACCCAACTCTTCACCTCCGTCGTTTTGGCTTCCAACCTTATCTCATTTTAGATATCACCGAGCTCTGTTCTTGACATTTTCTCCCAGTTGATCTGTTGTAGCACTAGTAAGTAGACTGGCGCCACCTCTCCCGGAACCAGTCTTTCTCTTCTTGCCATGAACTGCATGACTTTTGAATCGACCGAATCCGGTGACCAACTTCTCCTTGTTCTTTTATAGCCCGAATATGAAACCACCTTCCATATCTCTTATGACCACCCCCAATCTCGTTTCTTCACCATCCAAGACAGTTGCATCTACATTAATCTTGTAGATTCCTGGTGGTGGCTTTTCTCAGTGATGTTGCCTCGATTGTTTGGTGTTTGGCCTTTGCTTATGATAATCCAGGTATTCCTCTAGCCACCATTCCACCTTCCCTATAATCTATACTGTTATGTTTTCTTCCTATTCCGCATATGAGCATTTCTTTCTTCTCAGAAAAACCACAAGGCCAGTGCAAATTGCCCAATCTCTTCATCTGGCTTCGTCTCCTGCAACTCACACATCCATTATGTACATGTACAATTTTCTCCTTCCTCGAACATGTCTCGCAGATCACTAGGACTCCTTACTCTTCTTACCTTGACACAATCTCTAAATAAATTCTCTTGAGTCTAAATGAACCCACAATTGGCACTCATCACATCTTTTCTTTGACTCTTTTAGGATGATATGCCTTGTAAGTAATGTGTTTCTTGTCCATCTCCAAGTGAACACCTTAACCCTTGGCAGTATCGGGAGACTTTAGATTTTCTCCCATGCTATTGATGTGTATCTTTTTCCACTTCCTTCATCCTCCTTTTCCTGCCATAATTTGTAGGCTGACTTGACTATGTAGCAACCTAGTCTTTCACGAGGCCAAACTCGTGTATCTTTCACAGGTTGTCATTAGATTAGAAATCGTAGAATATGGTGTCTATCAAGTGGATTGAAATAGGTCCGTAGAAATTTATCTCTCCATCTTCTTGTCTCATAGTCAATTAGCTTGGCTACTGAAGTTGTATAATCTAGTATGGATTTAGGTGATATCACGTTAAGGTTGTCGGATGCAGAGACACATCTGACTAGAAATATATCTACTTTGTTTCCATTCTCAATCTTCCATAAAAGCCCTTCCTTGACAAGTGGTTTTGTATCCATTAAGTCCGTGTCATATATAGCTTTAGTTGTAGCTTCCTTCTTCCTCTAGGATATCCCTTACGACATAATACTTTGCTTTTAGTATCTTGACCACCAATTAATTAAGCTTCTGAATCATATTCCATATTTTATTTCCTAAGAGTTCTAGGTGAAAACCTTACAATTCACGAAAACCCATGCATCCTTCCCTTTTTTCCTGCATGTTTTCTTCCAACTTTAGTCAGTGAGTCCTACACTCTACTTTTTTTTTGTCCCCACAAGAAATTGGAATGCTCTGAATTTCCTTTACCACTCACACGGCTATTAGAAATATTGACATGAAATAAGTAGTTTCCTCTTGAAAAACTTCTTTTATTAGCACTTCCTTTCATGCATAAGTGAGAAGCCTACTCTTCCATAACTTCAAAATTTTCCTCACCCTATCAATTAGGTAGCTAAAAAAATTCCTTCTTTCTCCTTTCAACCACTCTAGGTAGCCAAAGGTATCTCACCTGATGTTAAAAATCATTCATTCCTAAAATAATATTAAGTTCTTTTCTTCTACTTTGATTAACATTAGGTTTGAACTATAGCAAGGGACAAAAAACAAAAGACTCAAATAAATTAGAAAAAACGAACAAAAAATAAAACGAATAGAAACAATAATAAAAGAATCTATGAGAGACAAAATTGACCAAAGACTCGAAATGCAAAAATAAAGACACAAAACTTGAACAAACGCAAAAATAAAAAGAAGAAATAGAACATGTACCTTACTCCCTTTCCAAATATTGTGTGAAGTCTCCAGCAACGACCCCAAAATTTGATCGTGTATAGTACGTAGCTAAATTTATCTGGTTGTAAATCAATCCTAGGGTCTCTTACAATCACTTGCTCAAATAGTGAGAGACGTACTCTATGATGCTTTAAAACGAGATGGAGGTTGATGTTCCTCCAGTTTTTCTATTGGAATTCAAAGAAAGCTATGCGGGAAAGAAAGCTATACGATTTTGATCGAGGAAGAATAAGAAGAAGGCGTTGCACAGTCAAGCTCCACCTAGAGTTCCATTTGACTTGCGGTGTTACAATAGTGGTTATACATATGCATGGTTGAGAGAATCCACTTTTGATGTCTCCACCCACTATGATCCTATTTGACTGCCTTCCCCTCACGATCCAATCATGGATTCTGTGCTTAGCGAGGCACGTAGGTTGGTCATTGCTCAGATTGCATATATTACTTTATACAATCTACGTTTGCATCCATACATGTATCGCGTTGATGCAAAGGTATATCATCTAACATAAATAAACAAACATTGCAATAATCATAGTTAGGCGAATTCACAAAAATGCAACATATGCACAACCAAGATTCGAAATGATGGATACTGGCAGCATATGAGCAATTTGACTTATGTAAGATTTATTCCCATCATGTGACATGGCCACCACTATATCTAATAGAAAACAAGGGCCTTACAGATTCCTCCCTTGAGGCGTCATATTGTACAATATTTTTCCTAACTATGTTGGATACTTAAATAAGAGCAAGACATAAAGATCTCAATAACATTGCTTACAATAACTTGTCTCACATCATAAATTGATAAGCTTTCACCCCAGGATATCTCAATTCTATTAGGGAGTGGCAGAGTTCACTCCAACTGATGTTAAAGGATGGTGCTCATTGACACTGGTGCATGCTTTATTCTGGACTATTTGGAAAGAAAGCAACCGAAGGATTTTCGAAGAGAAGTCTTCTACTCCACAAGTCATTGTCATGAAAATTGGATACCTGATATCGAAATGGCTAATAGTGAGGGAGAAAGCGGATAGAATAATTGCAGAGGATTGATTAGCTAAATTGAAATCATAATTACTCCCACCACCTACAGTTTTTCTTTAAGCTCTGTTTGGTGGATTTGGGTACCTGTTACCTATTACCTGTATGTTTATCTTTGGGGATTGCTTTTATGTTGAAAGCAACCTGCTTGCTCTGTACTGCAACTATTCCATCCCCATTTTTTTTCTTTACTTTGTCTCTCCTTGTTTTGTCTTTCTTTGGCTTTAATCTTTTAAAGAATGTCACCATTACCAAAAAGAAAATGAAGAAAACCAACATTCATTATAAATTGACACTTCATGGTTATAGTTTTGCACCTGTATTCCTATGATCCTTTTGAGAACAGGTGTGAACATCATGTCCTTCATTAGCGCAATGATTAATGTCTTTTTCTTGGTGGATTTGTTGCTTCACTTTTACGTCATTTGTTTTGACAACCTCAGGATATTTAATTCTAACTCTTGGTGTACTTTCAGTTGTATTCTCCATGGGATCCAATCTTGTGCTCTTTCTCCAAATTTCCTAGGCCAATACAACCAACATATATATTTCATGTTTCACTAGTTTTTAGCCTTCCTCTTGCTTTGATGCATACATACATAGTCTTCCAAATTTTCCACTTAAGGAACCAGACCCAAGCAAGCATGTAATTCTTCACTTTCCAATTTTGGGTGGACTGAATGCACATGAAAATCTTTCTTAACATCTCTGCACCATCATTTTACCAACAAAAAGATGGTATTGCCGAAATGTTATTCCCTTTAATCACACAAGACAATGGCTAAATGGAATGACTTTACCTTTTACAAGCTTATAAGAGCACTTGATGGGTAGTAAACCACAGTCCAAGATGTATTACTCCTTGAATATTTTCTCAACTCTTAAATGCACTTTTCACCAAAAGAATTAGTTGACACACTATATAGAATGGCTCATCCTTAATCCTCTTTTGCACTTTGAAGAACATTTTCTCTGTATAATTTATACCAAAATGTTCTTCAATAATGCGAAGATGTGTATCACACATGTTGATGCCAAGCTAAAATAGTCGACCTCGAATGTTGTAGAGTCCGGAGAGCGTTGACCTTTTGGTTGTCGTTGGATTCCAGCTCTCGAGATGAACACATGCAAAAAAGGACCCGCCGGTTGTGGTCGGTGGGGACCTGCTTCGAAGCTCAAGTCAGTATTGA